CTGGCGCAGGCTTCGCCGTATCCTGGGGCAGCCTTCACTCCAATTTTGCGTCGCTACGGCGAGCTGCTTTTATCCACGTTTGCCATTGTGGAGAGACCTTTTCCACGAACTTTTATATCTCATTTGGTAACAAGGAATACGCCAACGATAATTTTTTGCGTAGGACTTGAAATATTACAGATACTTTTGTTTATCTGAATTATCTGCTCCTGTCTTCTCATAACTTTAGATACCAGAACCTCCCTCGTTGAGTATGCATTACATATTTGATACAAGCGTTCCCTTTTACGAAATTGATGACTTTTAAATGTCTGAAGGATTAAACTAAAATTACTTTGACTTATATATGTGGAATATTCCGAACGTTGACTACGAATTAAACGAGTCGTTTGAAATTTCCTATTGGTGAGCAGCTTATTTCGGTGTTGTTTGCTGTCTCCACTGATCTCAGAAGAAAAAAATGTGAAATCATACTTTCAAGAACTGGATCTCAACTTGCATTTTATTTAAGATTGATAATCAATAAATTAATCTCTTCGTAATTTTGTGGTGAGATGCTATTCGAGTGATTGCCGCTTTTTCATTGACCTGAAATGGGAAACCCAAGTTTCATCACCCGTGACGATCTGATTCAGAAAGGTATCAGCGTGATACAGCGTCAAAATATCAGTGCTGCATACTTTCTGTCTGCTTTATGCTGGTCACTCTTATCGCATTTTTGAATCGAGAGAATAAAGCCAGCAAGCAAGCAAAATCTAAATCGATTACAAAGCCTGAATTCTACAAATGTATTAAAGAAGCTTGTAACAATGAATTTGTATTTTTGTAGGTAATGATCCTTTCGTGTATCATTCTCTTAGAATTATATTCAAACTCGGTTTTATCTGCAGGTTGTTATGATGGGAGCCGCTGGTCGGTGCGAATGGATGAATTGTTCAATATTAGCGTTTTTATTTTTCTCTATTGTCATTAGTGATTTCCTTACTTTTTGCTTATACTTTACTCCCGATGAACATAAAAATCAACTTTAGAATAAAAAAGATTCTGCAACTGAATCCATACACTAATCACGTTTAAAAATAAATGCTATATTTTCATAATTAGGGAGTTTGCGAATACGGATTACAGGAATGTAAAATTGACAATTTACGTTTGGAGCGATTACCTATTTCACATTTTGATAAGGTACTACAAATTATATTTTATTGGTAAAAATTGGAGGTTATTAATTTTTTTTAAAATATTGGTTCTAGCGAAATAATGTTTTATTGCTGTTGCTTTTTGTCTATGTGCCTCATGGGGAAGCATATTACCCTTTCAGCTATACAAACTTGCTGGCTACTTGGGCTGTGGTCAGCAGACTATCAAGACATTCCGCGGCGTCATACATATTTGAAAGACAACGGACAAACAACCACGCCCACGACAAGACTCGAACACACGACCCTTCACTCCAAGGTGCTGAGTTGGCACTCGTTCTAGCCACCTCAGTCATTCAGGTCAGCAATAACGTTTTATTGTTAAAAGGAATAAACAACTATAAAACAACCATTACATTAATAAATAGTTAATAATGGACTGAGATTCAACTACACCTGTTCAAAAATAATTAAAAACCTAATAGCCAAAATTTGTCGGCGTTCTTACGTTACAAATCTCAGTATTCCACTGGGCATTCGTATGACACAGCAAGTGTCCAGGTGACCAACTCCCATAAGCCCCACACTTAACTCTGCTCTGGACGACCACGCGGCGGCCGCGACCTGACCTGAGCGCGAGGTCGCCTGCCCCACCGCCCCACACGCAGGTCGGCCTCATTTCCATTCCTCCCTCGCGTCCGGCCGGCGCGGCACCTCGCCACCCACGGCCACCCTCACGCCCCGTGGCCGCGGGTAGAACGCGCGACGCCAACCCATCGTAAGGCGGCAATCGCGGCGGAAAGTGGGACACTGTTTGCGAACGTGTAGGATGGAAATGTTGTTCTAAGAAAGCGTCGAATGTGGCAACGGGAACAATAAATCACATAAAAACGAATGTCATTTTCTCTTTTCCAAGTGCCACGCCTTTAATATCGAGTACACTGTGTTCTCCAGTTTAGTACATTTCAAACGAGTGAGCTTACTAAATTTCCTGCAGCTTTGGGCTTGTCAATATATTGTATTGTGAGGAAGTATGTTCTGTTTGATTAGTGTACTAGGCCGTGGCTGCGCCAGCACATTTTCTACACGCGCACCACGCACTAGCTTCAAAAGCAGAGATATCTTTCTTGTCTATGCGAATACTTGGGATATAAAACTAAAGGCAAATGAGGAAAATTAAAGTATCATCGAGAGGCATCGACAATTATCAATTGTGGATAAGTTTAGCCTGGAATATAAAGGCAAATATTGCATCATATAACAACAATTAAATTCTATTGTCAAGACAGAAGAAAAATACTATTTTAATAAAATATAATTATTCATTAATTAAAAAAAACTTATGTCTTTGAGATAACAAATACATTCTCTGATGTCACTCTTGAATGTACATGAATCCCTTAAATTTCAAGTTATCACGGTTCTCTGAAGCGAAGGAATCGAGTGAACATACTACATCAAGAATTCCCAAATATATTTTCTGGTTCAGCTGTTTAGAAATACGTTTTTTGTTTATTCTTTTGCTTTGTCGTCTTTTTCAGTTTCTGACCACTCCTCTTGGTCCATCCACCCAAACATTACCTCACTTTTTCCTCGCATCAAGTAAACCTGCCTTTACTTCAACACGTGTCGTCTCTTTCCATTGCCTTTTAATCGGCCTACGCGCCCTCCGTCGCGCTGTGATTAATCCGGGCGGATTAGGCGCGGCGCGCGCGCCCGCCGTCAAAGATGCTAAGCACGAGGAAGCGATTCCGGCTCATCGGAGTGCGGTAATTGCGCTGCGCGCCGATATTGCGAGACTCGGGTTACGACGAAGTCGGGCGGCGCGTAATCCACTCCGAGCGAGCACTTGTGTGGGATTAAACGCCGGGCCTCAAATATACAAGAGACGCGGTGTGAAATCGACGTTTTATATCCACCAAACTTGTAATGCGCTTTATCAATTTGCATACCGGAGAGGGAGGAAAACCCTGTATACGTAGTTGCTTTAGGTTTCAGAAGTAAGCAATGGAACCGAGTCGGAGTATCCTTGTCGCGGTTGGTCTCACTTCCAGACATTTTGCACTCTCGGCACCCAACTGTCTTTCTTTTTTCGTTGAAAGAGCTCACTCTTCCTCGAAGAAAGTTTCTTCTCAGCTCTCAGATTTAAAACCTCCTACCTTCTAGAAACCGCAGTTTGTTTTGTAACACTTTTCTACGTGATTCACGCCAGAGAAAAGCAACTCATCCGCGTTTCACATGCTCTGTTAATCAACTTCATAAGATCAGATTTTTTAATAAAATATATAATTTTACAATTACTATACACTGTTTTATCCACAAAAATAAACATGTATATGTTGACTAGAAATACGACAATATGAACAGAGGACAGGGAGAAACGAATTTCCAATCTGTCTATAACACAATTTTTAGAAAGCGAACGAATTAATTTCATTGAGAGCATTCGGAACCGTCGTTTTGGCAATATATTCTTCTATTCTCTTATTTGATTTAAAATGATGACTAAATAGGGCTCAATTGTACATCTGAAATTCGGATAACGCAGAAGAATAAAATTCTTATTTACGAGCACTGCGACAAAAATGACGACAGATGGACTAGTATCGTTTTAGGGAATACTCGTAGAACAATGCATTTAGAAAAGCCATGACCTGCGCTGTGTTTCAACTCGTACCGCCAGCAATCCCTCGCCCGGAGTTCGCCACATGGATGGAGAAAGCGCCCCAATCGGAACTCGGAAGACGAACGTCTGGTGCGAAAGCCGGCGTGGGCCCGTACGGACGATATATCGGGCGCTTTATCTGGAAACGAGTTCGGCTTGCCCGCTCGGGCGCCCGACTAACCGACCGATGGTTCCCTCGACCACCCACTCCCTCGCTTGCTTGCCCACCGCTCACCCCACGACAGACGAAATCGTTGCAGAGCCTACCTCCTCGCCGACCAACGCCCTCGTCTGCCAGCAGCCACCCACACCTGAATCTCACCCTTGCCCACCGGACAGGGCTTTCTCCCTTTCGCTCGTACAGGGAGCTCTCAGTCCAACATTGGTTTCCTTTTGTCGTCCATTCCTATCCTTACTCCTGCACCGTCCTTCCTTCAGCGCATCCTCCAACCTACACAGCGTTCTCTACCACCGCCTGATCTGTCGACTACTCCCATCTACCTGTGCTTCTCAACGACTTGGTCACGTTCTACACCTGCCACCACTGTAGGTAATCACCCGAATCTGGACTCCCTCGACATTTGTTTCCATCCCTTGACAGCTGCTCCCCTCGAGGAGCCGCCCCTAATTCCAGCAACCACCACCACCACCCCATCTCCAACCTCCACTCTTTCATCCGCACCGCCCGGCATCTGCGCCGCCGCCTTTAATTTGGCCGTTTCTCTCCCAAAGGAAACGTTTCCCCGGCAGCGTCGCACTTCTTGCTCTCGCAATCCATGATTTACAACCGCACTGTATATGTGTTAACTTTTACGCTTCATTCCGACTTTTACACTGCCTCGCCAGAAGTTAAAGTGGCGTTGCACTTTCCACATAAAAGAGCCGAGGGAGGCGGCGGGAGAGGAGAGGTACTACGAGTTGGGCGCGCCCCCACCCCATGATAAAGATGCAGTGAGAACGAGGAGAGAGAGAAGAAAAAACAGCGGGGATGGAAAGAAAATCCAAATAAGGTACGGGATTTAAATGAGGTTTCGGAATTATTCAGTCGGAAATAAAGTGACGGCGCGGAACTGGAATTTCCTGCCGCGAGGGATCAACGAGGCGTGTGAGCGGTCGGGTTGCTCCGGATTGTGAGGGCTCTAGACGGTAGGCGACGCCGGGGTGGGGTGGGCGCGACAGGGCGACATGCGAAACACGGGGAAGACACTACAAAAAAAGAAGAAAAATCTACAAGGAGACCGCGAGGAAAAGAAGTGGAAGCAACACTAGGTCTCCGGAATGTCTATTGAGAAATTGTGTGAATGAATGAGAGGCGAATAGGTTGATTGCTTGCATTGACTGATTCTGATAAAGAGCAAGATAGCAGAAGAAAAGTCACGAAAGAGGGATAGACAAAGTAATGGAACAAATGTGACATTTGAAAGTAAGATTTCTCGAAGCGTAAAGCAAAGCCTTAGACACGGAGCTGGAGAGTTACGTTTCAATTCTAGGGGAAAGGGGAAACACTTCGTCGTGCCAACTGCATAACACCGATTGTGAAAAAGCTTGTTTCCCGTTATCGACATTTCGCAGTTGCTTGAAAGGTGATACACCCAATGATATTGCTAATGTATAACCCTCTTAAAATGTCCCAAATCCCAGTTGTAAGCCACTGAATATGATGATGAAAAATCTGATCTAATTGATATGTTTGAATCAATTTATTGAGGCCTTGGAAAGTAGTGATTTTCAAGTTCGATACTTAGCTGACAGGATATATATATATATATATATATATATATATATATATATATATATATATACAGAGAGAGAGAGAGAGAATAAAGCTGGAAGAAAGAAGGCTTGAATTGCAGTTACGAGGACCCCAATGTCGACGATCGCAATAAAAAAGCCACATAGCATGACATAAATATTAAGGGGTTTTCGTAGTATTTCAATAACATAGTGCACTTTGACAGCTGAGTTCCGCACTCACATATCTCATTAAAAGCCTCCGAGTACCTTACTCGAATTTCAAGCGTTCTTCAAAACACGCAATGATACAAACGAAAAATACATCAAGTACTTTTTAAAAACAAGTTTCATTAAAAAAAACTAGTTTTAAAGTTCAACAACTATTAAACAGAAATATACACTACAGAATTAAAATTATGGAACGGCGTAAACTACAAAATCAATATACTGAATGAAATTGATACTTTCATTTTGTCTAGTTAAATTTTTCGAAGAAATTATAAAAAACTAAATACTTCGTCTGTAAAACTCCGAAATAATTTTCATAAATTTTTTAAAAATCTTTCATAAATTAGTTATAAGTTGAATAAGAAACTTTTTTTCCAACTTTTAATTTGTTGGAATTTACTGGAGAGAAATTTATAAGTTCATAAACAACGTGTGTGCTAGGGTTTAGAAATCCATCTTATGTGATTTTGTTGAGCAGTATTTTTACTTCTACAGTTCTCTAGTTTCATTAATTGAAAATAATATACGAAATATTATTGAATGCTAAAATAAACAGCTTAGAACACTTAAACGTTTACTTCACTTTCACAACAACTGAATTTTCCAACTTTCATTAGCCTGGAAGATATTGGTACGTTAGCGTGTATTTCAACTGAATTAGGTTTTTGCATGATAAGATTCTGGGGAATATCCAAAAGTGTGAAGACTCAGCTGAAAGCATAACTATCAGAAGTAGCAATAAAAACAAATTACTGACACATTAACTTAAATCGTACCGATTTAATGAACAGAAACATTGTTTTTGATACAGAATTCGGCTGTCGCAAAAGAGAGGGTAGGCATTCACAGCAAGTCCACGGTTCAGAGGATAACCGCTCAATGAATAGTGCTCCCGGAAGTCAATTCAAGTTACGGCAGACGTGACGTCCAACGAGCGCAAGGTAGCGGGCTGCCTTATTAAGGTGACAAGGAGCAGAAGGGGCCGTGGAGGTGGCGGGAGGGGGGGCGCTATTCGTGACCGCGATTAGGGCGCCGTTCCGGAGCCCCCGAGGCCGCCGGAGGCAATTTAGCGGCCCAGAGGACGCACAATACCAACGACGCCGCCAGAACTCGCTCCGGAAGGCGAGGCGGCTTCCGCAGCCTGCGCCCAAGACGTGCCCCGGCGCCGCGGCCCTCGGGGGAGCAGGCGCCCGCCCACGCGGCCACGGCCCGGCGCGGTCGACGCCATTCGCCTCCACGCTCCTAGCCTTCTTCCTTGGTCCTCGTTTCGATCCTCATCTGCCCGTATTGCTCATCTGTTACACGCCCTGGCCTCTGTTCCATTCATTTGGTCATTACCCGCTATATTTTCGCTTCACAGCTCCGTCTTTTTACCTTCGGAGACCACTTTATCTTCTTCCTTTATCCCTCTTTCGATACCCATCCCGTCTTATTGCTCATCGTTTGCACATCTTTCATTATATCATTACCCACGTTACCTTTGTTTTATGGAGCTCACTTTTTACCTTCGACAAGCACTTCATTTTCTTCCTTTGTCCTATGTTCCAACCCATCTTATTGCTCATCTGTTACACATACTTCATTTTATCATTACCCACTTTACCTTTGCTATATGAATCACTTTTTTATCTCTTTCATAATTATCAACTACTACATTCTTCCTGTGCGTAATACGTTTTGTATTGATACACCCAATTTCCCACATTTCTTGACTAACTTCACCTTTTATTGATTTAACAGATTAATCAACCATTATCCCAATTTTGAAACCTCACTTTCGTGATGTTGCGTCTTTTTCCAATCTCTTTCAAACTACCTCCTCCTGTCCTTCAAACTGCTTTTCCTACCTCCTCAGTCTTTCTTCTGCCGTCTTACGTGTCTCCTCACCGCTCCGCTCCATTTCGTCTCCGCTCGCCAACCTCTCCTGCACCGTCAAAGGATATCCCCCACACAAGAACAAATGATTGAATGGACGAGCGGATAGATGCGGCAATACGCGACGGCGAGCGGAACTGAAGCCCTACACTTGAACCACCCGGCCAGACAATACCTTTCTTTTTATAAGGCGGGATTCGGGCTAAATCTCCCCCGATGGGAGCCCTTCTCCGGCGGCGGCCAGCGGCGCGGCAAATGTGCCGGCGGG